TGTATTTCTAAATAGTGAATTAGTCAGGGGGTCTAACTCTTGTATAAGGTTACACCTAAACAAATCCTTCAGGCAAATAAAGCTACATGTCGTCCACCCTCGTTTTCAACAATGTTTTCTTAAGTAAAGCGAAATGACCAGTTATGGTTTAGAATAATAAATGATTATAATATATATCAGGAAATATTAAAGAAATAAATAAATAAGCAGAAGACAAAGTTTTCATAGCCATTATTGGAAGTATTTTATACCTGTTCTTCGGTCTGTTTGTAAGCACACTGTAAGACCTACTGTCAAATCAAAGATAATATTGAAAAATAATGTGACAAGACATGGGTATTTTTCGGCTCTGTTCCAATGAAAGGACATGCTAAAACGACAACTTACAAAGTTGTTTTGAGTTTTTTAGAAACGATCGGTAAATACAGGATATCAACAATTTCCGTTAACAGGAAGTGAACCGTCCGTCGATGAGTTGAAAATAAAATACAATAATAAAATGACATTGTTGGATATAAAGGTATGTAGTTGACAAAATATATCTTTTCTATAGAGCTGAATATATCAATAGTAGAGTGATACAGAAATACCACTGTTAACATAGTGCTGAATACATCAATTGTAGAGCGATATAGAAATACCACTGTTAAAATAGTGCTGAATACATCAATAGTAGAGCGATATAGAAATACCACTGTTAACATAGTGCTCAATACATCAATTGTAGAGTGATATAGAAATACCACTGTTAACATAGTGCTCAATACATCAATTGTAGAGTGATATAGAAATACCACTGTTAACATAGTGCTCAATACATCAATTGTAGAGTGATATAGAAATACCACTGTTAACATAGTGCTCAATATATCAATTGTAGAGTGATATAGAAATACCACTGTTAACATAGTGCTCAATATATCAATTGTAGAGCGATATAGAAATACCACTGTTAACATAGTGCTGAATAAATCAATTGTAGAGCGATATAGAAATACCACTGTTAACATAGTGCTCAATACATCAATTATAGAGTGATATAGAAATACCGCTGTTAACATAGTGCTCAATACATCAATTGTAGAGTGATATAGAAATACCACTGTTAGCATAGTGCTCAATATATCAATTGTAGAGTGATATAGAAATACCACTGTTAAAATAGTGCTGAATACATCAATTGTAGATTGCTATAGAAATACCACTGTTAAAATAGTGCTCAATATATCAATAGTAGAGTGATATAGAAATACCACTGTTAAAATAGTGCTGAATAAATCAATTGTAGAGCGATATGGAAATAACACTGTTATAATAGTGTTCAATACATCAATTGTAGAGTGATATAGAAATACCACTGTTAAAATAGTACTCAGTACATCAATTGTAGAGTGATATAGAAATACCACTGTTAAAATAGTGCTCAATATATCAATTGTAGAGTGATATAGAAATACCACTGTTAAAATGGTGCTGAATACATCAATTGTAGAGTGATATAGAAATACCACTGTTAAAATAGTGCTCAATATATCAATAGTAGAGTGATATAGAAATACCACTGTTAAAATAGTGCTGAATAAATCAATTGTAGAGCGATATGGAAATAACACTGTTATAATAGTGTTCAATACATCAATTGTAGAGTGATATAGAAATATTATAACAGAACTTGAATCATGTATATATAGATGAACAGAGAACACATATACATTTTTTTTATAAAAAAAATACATCCCCCCCCCCATATATACCCATTCATCAGATAATTAATTTATATTCCATTAAAACTCATTAAATCGCCTATTGCTCAATCATCTTGTATTTTTGGTAGCCTTCCTACGGCACCTCCCGCCTAGACTATATGTAGCCTACCTGTCGCACAGCTATATTTTCTAAGAACAATTTAAAATGTGTGTTGTCTAAAGATACATAGGCCTTACATCTTATTTATGTTTTGATTTTATCATTTTGGCAACTTAATCCTAAATCACTCCGTCAAATATTTTTCATATCTCCGTCTAAGTTCCTTTTAGGCTTAGAGACGGGCGTTGACGGCTTCACATGGATGAATTGTAATCGGCAGCCTGTAATTAAAGGACTGAGCTCTGACAAAAGAAGCGAAATATTATCTCGAGGTACAAAGCGGAGTGACTAAGACATCATCCACCTTTTTAACAATTGAAAATTTATTTCTTTATATTTAATACAATAAAAAAGCGTATAACTACCATTTCCGCTCAGGCGTTTCATCACGTGACCGGTTGACCTTAAACGACCGGGTCAAAAAAATATTAGAAACGTTAACCAGACTTTTAAGCTGCAATAAAAACTAATGGGAATCCAATTTGATCGCGACTAAATGAATTACAGACCGGTTGATAATAATGGCTTCTGAATCTGAAGTTAAGCTCGATGTAATAATTTCGTTTCTCCTTTGGGATTATATCCTCCAGCAATACGACTGTAAATTATCAGGTAGCCGAGGAGAAAATTTCAAAATGAATATGTTGACGTGTTTTAATATCTTTATTTCCACAGTCAAGGATTGAGGCTTATTATAATTACAGACACTACATCAACCTAACTGCCATTTTTTATCAAATATTTCACAAATGTGTTTTAATAATCTGTATGACAGATGGGGTCAGTTTCCTGTCATCACGTGACCTGGTTAATATCTCATGTCGTAAGGAATCAAAACATTGCTCGATACAATATTTGCAAATCAATTATTTAAATATCATACTTATCAATCGATTAGACACACGATTTTTCATAAGGCTAAAATCTAAGGAGCATATTATCAAAAATATGCCAAATAAACAATATCAGCCTAGCCTATACTGCCAGGATTCCGGACAAACCCAGTGGCATCAAGGGTTGTAAACTAGTGAGCGCATCCAGTGGTGTTTCCACGAGGGGAAGGGGTTCGGCATGCAGAAAAGAGGTTGGTCCGTCTTTGGATAGTGAAAGAATGACCTATGGCCCCCTGAAAAATTTTGTGGCCTCTGTTCGGCCCCTCACCTGATGTTTCCTAGATACGCCTCTGAGAACGTCACAGACTTCCTTGATGTATGCCGTTGATTTGAAGTAACAGTTTTGATACGTTTCTTAGGACAAAATATCAAATCGAAAATAGTAATTAAAGGATCACAACCGCTTATTAGTATTTGTTAAAGGAGATAATCCCGTTGCTAAAGTTTCAGAATTATCATTTTCATCTCAGCAGTTCATTAAAATTTGAAATTGTAACTGTTTGAGATTTTATCGTTCTAGTTTGATTGCACGTGTCAATCAGAAAGCAAACACGTGTTCTGGAGAACCTGGTCACGTGTGTTGAAGAACTAGGTCACGTGTGTTTAAGAAGTGTAAACGATTGGTTAAGAACTATAAATCGTATAAAAGAGAAGTAGAAAACGTGCCATGATGAAGAAGAGTAATATGATAAGAAATGGTATGATGTAATGTATTATTATCCAGAAGATTGTTATATACCTAGATATAATATTACATTAATAATAGCAATTATCACGTGACGTTTAGTATTAACACCTGATGCTCAGAATAGGCTACGTGACATCTTAATGACGTCATTTCATTATTCACCTGTTTCCGACTAAGTTCGTAGGCACCCCTTGAGGTTGAATGTTCGCAGAAAGAAATATTGTTGAAAAAGTTGAAAAGCAAGGATAGCATACAATCTTCTTAGAATATAAATCTCAATGTTTCGATTCATAATCCTGAGATGCATAACAGTTTCGGCAAATCATGGACGGTAAGTGGGGGTTCTCCACAGAAATAAAATCACAAGAAGACATCTTGATCGTCTGAGAATCAGAATCAGAATCAAAATTTCCGAAATGGGTTAATGAAATTATCACAAGTTTTACAATACCATTATGATAACAAAATGAAGGGTCTTATATGCAAATATGGAAGTAGCGTCTGTTAATTTTAGATGGGGAAATAAACTGAAGCCCCGTGTGTTACAAGCTGTGCATGTTGAAAATCCTTTGACAGTTGGAAATAGAAAAAGATTAGTCTAATGCCGCTTCCCTGGCAAATGTTTCCTCATTTCAGAATGCATGTCGTTATCCGTCTTCATTAGGTGCAGAAAAGGTGGACGTAAAACTCCAATCATTTTATAATTATAACTGTCTTCTTAATGATATCTCATCACAATTACTGCTTTCTGCTTTCTCCTTTCTAGCCTCATTCTCAGCTGGCACAAGACAAACTCTTTCACATCAGCGACACTTAATAACTCAAACTAGCTAATTATCACGGCAGGGAGTGTTTACTCTTTCACACATTACCTATATAATTACTGCGTTATCACCCAGCCTTTATCATCCAGTCCTACTTTGTATACGCATTGCCTCGGCGTAGACAGTAGAAGTCTTGGTGTCAGAGACTATAGTTTTCACCATGTTTTGCTGCCCCGCCCGAGGTATAATTTACAACAGTACCAATTCAGTAATAACATTCATTAGCCCGACCCTCGTCTGTTTCACACCGACTAATATTCTGGTATTCAAGGTAAACTGGTAAATTATTAGGAATAAATTAGGATGGAAATATGACAGGGGTAGTCTAGGGTGTAATTTTAACACTGTCATCCAAAACTACCACTGAGTATCGGAGTTTCAAGTACATCCGGCATCTAAATAATGTTTACATCATATCATATCGTAATTGTATTTTACAACCGCCGTTACTATTTTGAAGCTGGCTTTCTGCTGACGTGTCGAAAAAGAGTAGGCAAATGCCGCCATTCTGGCAAAATATCCCTGTTTGCACATTGCATAACGTTGCCGTCTTCATTAGCCCACATGGTGAAGACTAGTAGGACGTAAAACTCCATTTATTTCATTTGTTTGAAGATGAGACTCATAATATTCATGTAAGCATAGTCTCTAAATAATTATTATAATTAGGTACCACTTCTGCTAGTTTTATAAAGAAATGGTTCGAGGATAATAAACGAAAAAATGTCAAAACAAACAGTTTTTATTATAAAACACATTAAAATTAAAATATTCCTATAATAAACCTAATATCCAGATGGTTTATATTTATTTTCATAAAACCAGAGTAGACCAAACATCATCCCGGCCGGTTTATTGATAGATTCATCATATATCATCTCTCTTCCTTTAGTTACTGGTATTTCGACTGTTTCAATCAGTTCCCCCTCCGATTCCAGACCTCCCCCAGCATTGACTTTCATCACGTCTGATACTTCAGAGTAAAACATGGTCTGTAGATTACCACTAGCGCCGACACCAGATCTGAAAATATTCACATGAAAATAACATCGGAAAGAGCCGGAATTTGGGCGGAGCCCAGTATTCTTTGGAAGGGGGACAGGGGCTGGATTAACAGTCTTAATCAAAATACACAATTGATAACTAACAATTTTGTTTCAAGTTTATATTTTGTTAAGTAAAATATACAAAGATAATGTCGGGATCAACGTAAACTTTCGACTTAGACGACGATGATGAGATGACGAAATTCAAAGCAAGAAATCCAGCAAAATATATACTAAAGAGGCAAAAAAAATACTAACAATTGTGTAAAGACCCACAGATTCTAAGGAACGCTGAACATCAAAGATTTTGCATAAAATGAGTAAAGGGAAGTAATCAATTTTGTCATCAACCTAATTAAACCTACAGACAACAATTGAAGCCGCAAAGTAAGAACAGTTAATTGTTTAATTCATTCAGACTACAATTAAATATCCAGTATCAAAATTCGTACAATAAAATTGTTGCAGCCTCGTCAAAATGTAGAGAACATGAACGAATATCATCAATCTTCTTTAACAATAAAAACTAGGAATGAAAAGAAAAAAAACCAAAGGACTATGCAAGAGAGCCATTCCAGTCAGTCTTTCAACAAAGATTAGTAGAAATCTGGTAACATCAGATTTCATGTTCTCTTACCTAAAAGTTGTTATCTTTTCTATTTTATACAAGGGGACCTTGTAGCCCAGCTCTTCCAGTAATTCTTGTTGAGCTATTTCTATAACACTACAGTCTTTATCAACCAGACCTGCACATAGTTCATGCGTAACGCCCAGTTTAGCAGGATATTTCTCTAGGTCTATTTTCTTCACCCCATTTTCTTCATATTTTTTGGAATTGCAGGAATAAACAGCTGAATGAAAACCATACAAACGTACATAAAGGAGAATATTAGGATTCACAGCACACTTTTCTAGCACACTGCCATTTGGCTCAAACTTTAGTCAATGTTAGTTAGTTTCCATGAATTGAATTGTTAACTAGCATCATTCTAGTCCCAAAATTGATATGAATGTAGCAACCATATGTGTATCAAGAACACTTATAACTTTTTAGCACTATATAGACAGATTTATAGTAACACTGAAAGTCTGCAATCAATAGGTTTGAAAAAGAATACAAGAACCTCGGATTTAAGGGATCAAAAGAGGTCATCTATGCTCGTGTATCACTATTTTTCTGTTTCTTTTCTACAATTTTAATAATAACTTAGAGCAGATTTTTAATTTTTTCAAATGTCAAGGATTTAAATCAATATCTGTGCCTCTATACATTTCCAAATTTTTATTAAAAAAAATTGAAAAAATAAAAGATAAAGTACCTGGTCTGAATTGTTTAACAAATATAAAAACCTTTCTAAAAGGATTGTACACCAGTATTGATACACTGCAATATAAAAAAAAACATCTGAAATACTATACCCTAAAACAAGACACTAAAGCCAGATTGCCATGACTTTTACAAAACAGCTGTGACAATGTTTCTGGATTATCATACGATTATGACAGAATTACCAAGACTTTAAATACCAAAATCTTAAAATGAAACATTTATCTTTGAGTCTAGAAGAGTTTGTTTCCAGTTTTATTGTCACCTTGCTCTTGCTATGAGAGTCCTGAGACAGTTTCAGTTAGATTTACAAGTAGGCTGAAAGAAATATCTAATTTGACCTTAACCTACCTATCTCCAGTATCCATGACGTCCCATATCTTCTCTCTACCATTCTGTAGAAAAAACATAAAAAAATCTAGTCATTGAAATGTTATTTGTTAACTTTAACTACAAAATTTAACTCTGTCTTGAAGGGACCCCATTCGATTTCCTTTTTCTATTAAGTGATTTCAACATATGCAGCCATTGGCAACTCTGTATTTAAAGCTGCAGTATAGGCATCAAGCTTTTCTTCCCCAAATATCTCGGATTACAAGGATGAGAGATTGTTAAAAACGATCTTGCAATTTGCTACAGAGGCAGGAGAAATCTTGGTATTTGATTGCATCTTAACTTATATCTAAAGATAAAACTTTCTTTTTATGAAATTCCTGATCAATAAAAGTCTTTTCAATAAATATGGGACTTATCGATGAATTAAAAAACTTGTTCAATTCTGACAGTTTTTGAAAATGAAAGTAGGGGGAAACAAATTGAAAGTAGAACGAATCATGTGATAAATTCATTGCACCCGATTGGTTGGTAACCGTCAGTACAGCCAAAGGGACTTTTCTCCCCAATTTAATCGTAATGCAAAGGCGTCTAAGATTACCTGCTTATACCTGAGTCGATACGGCCTTAAATATTTCGATTCTGTACAAGTTTCAATGCTCACATCTTGTATATTTTCCATTTTTAACAGTTTTTCATTCCCGAGTTTGTTTTTGTGACAAGGATGATAGGGGTGTCTTTTAACTACCGAATAGTACATTTTTCGCCAACTTCATTCTTGAGGTCCACAAGAATAGTGAAAATTCATAAGGATAATTAACAATATACGAATTCATAATACTTGAAATATTTTAGATATTAAATGTCAAATAAGCAGGAATTCAAATTATCAAAAAAATCGCATAGTTAAATGTAAAATGGGACTTCTTTCTAGTGTGTCGCTTGTTGTTCGGTTGTAAAAAGACATACCGGGAATGATGGGACCGACGCTCTGTAAACATCAACAATGGCCGATGAAAATGGTACGAGTTCAAGGGATGATCATTTACAAATACCCGGTAATACATTATTTCAAACTTTCGTCTTGTCCTCTTCTTGTCAAATCATTGACAATGCAAGCCAAGTTATGATTAAACAATGGTTGAAGTATAGGCCATCATAGAGATCATTTGTCCCCTTCCATTCATTCTGTTTGACTCTTCTGTTGTCATATGATGACCAGAAATAGAATTCCCGAGCGACCTATTGATAAATGTGAATGTGGTGTCGTGTCCAAAATGGTGGAAAGGGTAACCCCGCCATGGCCACTGAACAAGTACAAAAATAGCTGAAATTTACCAAGCCTCTTACACTTTTAGTTATAGCCATTTTTAGCTATCACATTAGGACGCCATAGGAGTTCTGAAAGCCAGCAGACAGCTTAAGAACATGTTAATGAATTTTATGAACATATCAACTCAATTGCATTTTTTACAAAGAACAAAATCCATTTTTATTCTTCAATTTTCAAAGCTGTTGGTGAAAATTTATAAAGTATTTTTTTTGTTTTTTCCAGACTTTAAGGCATTAGTAGAAGAATTGGCAGAAGTTAAAACTGAGTATGAAGAATTGAAGAGCCATATTGTAGAGTTAGAAAAGAAATATGAGAGAATGTTGTCTGTGAAGTCAGGAGGTGGGGATGGTGAAATCAATATATCAGCTAGACTACAACTACTGACAGCTGATCTATTTAATAACTCTATGTTTAGGTTAGTAGGCCAATGGAGATTTACACGAACATTTCTTTTAAAAATAGTTACTCTAGACCTTATTACTATCGTGTATTTCAAAACAAGAACTTGGGACAATTAAGATGTGGTATTTTGCCTAGATATCAGTCCCAGGTAAAGTCCACTTTTTGTTAGTCTGTCCTCAATATAAGGAAGTATGGGGAAAATCCTCTGTTCAATTCTATGTGCGACACTACCCCAATTTTATTAGAATTAAGGCTGGCCTGACTTTGGCCCCCTAATTTCAAATTTTTTAACATTGCACATAGGGAAAGAATTGCATGTGATCTCCATTACTGTGACTGCCCCACTCACGTAATGATTCAAAGATACTCCACTGAGTTAACAGTCAGATGAGCTTAGCTCTATTCACAGATTTTAAAAATGATTTTATTTTACAGTGATATAGTTATAATGTTACAAGGTGGAACTCAAGTTAAAGCCCACAAACTGATATTAGCTGCTAGTGGTAATGATTGGGGTGTAGAACAGTTTGATACTATAGATATGTTAGATCTTACAGGTAGGTTAATAATAATAATAATAGTCCAATAATGGTTAGTCCAATAATATTATCTCCATTTGATGATATTTTTGTTGATTTTTCAAGATATGTGTTATGAAGTATACTATGCTATATTGTATAATGTATATTCTAGATATGAGATATGAAGTATGCTATGATATGCTATATTGTATTTTCTAGATATGAGATATGAAGTATGCTATGATATGCTATATTGTATATTCTAGATATGAGATATGAAGTATGCTATGCTATGCTATGCTATATTGTATATTCTAGATATGAGATATGAAGTATGCTATGATATGCTATATTGTATTTTCTAGATATGAGATATGAAGTATGCTATGATATGCTATATTGTATATTCTAGATATGAGATATGAAGTATGCTATGATATGCTATATTGTATATTCTAGATATGAGATATGAAGTATGCTATGCTATGATAAAATGGGTATATACAGATGAATTTGATTTCCATCATAAAATAAATGATGATTTTTTAATAGAATTGATGCAAGCAGCTAGTATTTGTAAACTAGATTCTTTATTTATAAGGTAAGATTTCATGTGAAAGATAAAACCAATTTCTGGGTGATCTTAAACCCTTTCAACATTTGTGGCAACTCCAGCAACACCAATTACTGTTATGTGCAGAAAAAAGGGGCAAAAAAAACTTACATGAGGTACTTATAACAAACGAAATTGAGGGTATAAGACTAAAAACGTTCAAAACAATTTGGATAGCTATATTATACTTATAAGATGTAAAACAGTAAGAAATAAAACTCCAATGTATTTGTATTTCTAGATGTCAGAAAGCGTTATTAGCTGTATTAAATAGTGAGAATTATGATAAAATATTAAAATCATCTGAAGATTTATCAGCTGATATTCTGTATGAACAATGTCTGAAATTTACTGGTGTACCACACAATAAGGTATGTATGATATCAAGGGTGTAGGCTTGAGGGGTGAGAACACAGTAGTAGCATGAGGTTTATTTCTTATTGCCCCTATCCACTTGCCCAAATCTATTTCATTTTCGCCACTTCTTATTCCATTCCATCAATTATCCCTCTCTCATTTCGCTCCCTTATATATGGGATATATGCTTAAAACGAGTTGGTCAAAAAACAAATTCAGTTGTATTGTTGGCCAATTTACATCACACATTTGCGACTAAAAACTGAATGTAATACAAAAATATTTTTAAGACTGAGCTATTTTGATAGAGTAACATGCAAAAAAAATTCTTAAAGCAAGAAGTATCCTCTTTTTTGATATTATTAAAAATATCAATGATCACACAATTCATAAGTCTGTGTTCACGTAGAAAGCTAGGGCATATTCAACCTTAATATCTGTACTTTTAGCTCTGTATCTAGTCTGAAAATTGTCAATTAAATAATTTTTGTTAATTTGCAATTTCAGACTGGTACAGAGTTATTAGTACAGAAATTAAAACAACATATCGGAGAACAGCAGATAGACTTGATTATCCCTGACAATTTTACACCAACCTCTGCAATAAATTATCGAATTCAGTCGTCAGATAACAAGCGTCTTGCAAATGAAGGAAATTCTATAACAGTGTATGTATCAAATAGTGAGGAACTATTAAACAATGTTTTAAGTGAGGATATTGCCGAAACATATGAAACTTTAGAGGAGACGTCCGAAATTCCTAAATCTACTTCTGGAACTATAGATATTAATAGTACTGAAACTAGTGAAAATTCACATTTGAATGAAATGCTTTATTCTAGTTCTTTGACATCAATTTCTGCTAGCCACAATCAGAAAGTGGAGACAGTTGATTATGGCCCTGAATGTGTTGATATTGGCCCTGAACATGGTGATATTGGCCCTGAATGTGTTGATATTGACCCTGAACATGATGATATTGGCCCTGAACATGTTGATAATGGCCCTGTTACCAGCTCTCAGCATTGCTCAAATACAACCAATTCTGAGGTGACCAACAAAATTTCACTAAAACAAGGAGAAATACCTTCTGAAAATCACTATTTTGAATTAGTAGAGGATAGTGTTGAAGATATTCCTTCAGAAAAGTTTGATCTTGGAACAAATTCAATGCATTTGACTTCTGATGGTGCTTTATTGGCCTTTGAAAACCATTCCAATGCCTCACTTCAAGAAACCTATGTGGACCAAACGGAAGATTCTCTGCATATACATAAAGACAAAGACTCTGTTATTATCACCTGTAATCCAAATATGGAAATTGTCAAAATTGAAGAAAAAAGCGACAATGAAAATGAAACAATTGAAAATTTTGATCTAGATGAGGCACATCAACAGATAGCTGCTCATGAAGAAATTATTGAAACCATGAAAACGAAAATTCCAAAGAAAAAAATGACTGAGGAAAAAGCTGAAAAACTTATGAAAGATTTTACGTGTAACGTCTGTGGGAAGGTGATGAAAAAAAATCACCATTTAATGGCACATCTCCGAATTCATACAGGGCACAGACCCTTTAAATGTGACCTATGCAGCCGAGCTTTCTACGGTAAAAACGACTTGAAACGTCACATTCGAATCCATACAGGAGAAAAACCTTATAAATGTGATGTTTGTGAAAAGGCTTTTACTAGTAATTGTAATTTGAAAACACATTTGAAAATACATGACGAACACAAACCTTTCATCTGTTCATTATGTGATAAAACATTTCGTGTAAAATCTAATCTTACTGCTCATATTCGAATTCATACTGGTGAAAAACCTTTCAGGTGTCAAATATGTCCAAAAGCGTTTAACAGTGGAACAGATTTGGCTATACATTTCCGAACTCATACTGGAGAGAAACCCTTTCCTTGTGAAGTTTGTGGAAAATGTTTCCGATCCAAAAGTAACTTAAAAGAACATATGAGGGTACATTCTGAGAAACACATGACAATGTTACGCAGTAGTTCTGTGACACAGTATAAAAAGATAATTAAATGTGACTTGTGTTTGAAAGAATTCAGTTCTGTAGCTTTTAAATCTCTTCATCTCTTGACTCATCCTGAATATTCTATACCTACTGAATACGTTGTAACACAGGACAGGGGAGAGGTCATTATTAAAGATGCCAAATAGTATAATTTGATGAACACATAGTTTAAACAAAGTATTTCAAAGAAGTTAATGTAATATCAAGATAAAGCTAGTATAAACTGTATAAAACTCACTAATACTGCCACTGAAAATAAAATAATTTTTCTTCAAAGTTTTAATATTTGTAGCTGATTTGAAAGTTACGGATTATCAAATGTTATCCAATAAATGATAAATTGCTTACCCTTTTTTGGTATCTGATGGAAAGGCCTAGTTATTTGCTATCAAAGACTAGGAAGTAGTAGAATTAGAAAGCTGATAGTAGCCCTAAGACACAACATATAGCCTACGTTAGATCCATTCCAATTTACAAGTTTGATGTTTTCAATAAGACACACCCAATGGTTAAACTGATGCAGTAGAAAATGCAATACCTTAATTTGTTGTAGTATTTTAATTGTCATTTCTTACTGGAATTTTGAGGTGAAATAATTCTGACGATTTTAGGAAAAACTTATCAATTTTATTGTTCTAATCTTAGTAAATCGTCAACATTATAAACTCTGCTTTATCAAATTTGAAGTTTTTGTGACTTTGAATGTTTTAAAGAAACAGCTCAGCATTAAATCTGTATGTATATTGGTTATATTTTCAGATGACAGCGAGTTCTGAATCCCAACAGATTGATGACAGTGGTGAAATAGTGGCACAGGATGATGAAGATCTGAATTCTGAACACAAAAACGATGAATACGACAATCACTTCATAGAGATCTCAGATATTAGCTTGGTTAATGTGGAGGGGTCAAACCCTTCAGCTAGCAACCAGAGAACTAGGACAGAACTACAGTTTAACATTGGTGATCCTGTCAGTAACCTGCATGTACAGGAACTTACAGATGATAAACTTGAAATTTTGGAAATTTGTGAAAGTACCACCAAAAAATCAGAGGAAAATATTTCGAAACTTTACACATGTGATGTTTGTAGTAAATCTTTTGAATCAGACAGTCTGTTACAAAGTCATAAAACTTCACATGAAGATAAGAAATGTAGGATTTGTGGAAAACAGTTCAGGCAAATAACAGCTTATAAAAATCACCTTGAAAAATTCCAGGCAGTGCCTCACTGGTCTTGTCCTTCATGCCAGGGAGTTTTTAAATCTAAAGATATTTTTCTACAGCATCAATGTGGGGATCAATTTCAATCTCTACTCTGTGGTGTTTGTGGTAAAGTCTCAAAGAGAGCCAATGATCATGACAAACATATGAGAACACACACTGGAGAGAAACCTTATAAATGTGATGTTTGTAATAAATCATTTTCTCAAATTTCTAACCTGAAAGTTCACTTATTGAGACACACTGGAGAAAAGAAATTTAAATGTTCTGTATGTGGTCGAGGATTCTTAACAAAATCATGTTTTGAGCAACATTTTAAATTGCATAGTGAGAGTCAAGTAATGTATAGATGTGATGTTTGTGGGAAGGAACTGAAAAGAAATCAAAGTTATTTACGCCATATGAAAACTCATAAAAACCAACAAGAATTCCGATGTCTGATTTGTGGAAAGGCATTTGATCAAAAAGCTACGTTTGATTCTCATGTGGAAACTTTCCCTAATAAGGATCATTGTTATTGTCAAGCATGTTTAAAAGTCTTTACAAATAAGCCAGAAATGCTTACCCATACATGCACAATGAAAAGTGTAAATTCCAAGATGAATGATTTTGAGTGTGATATTTGTCAGAAGAGTTTTGGATCTAAACAATATTTAAAACAACATATTCTAACTAAACACGAGGGAATAGAACCTTATCATTGTGATATCTGTAATAAGTCTTTTAGATCTATGTTTTATTATGCTCATATGAAAATACATACTGGAGAAACCAAGTATAAATGTCATGTATGTAACAAAGGAACTGCATCTATTAGTGATTTACGTAGACACATTCGCTCTCACACAGGAGAAAGAGTCTGTACTTGTGAAATATGCGGAAAGAATTTCAAAAGTAAAAGTAACCTAAACAGCCATAGAAAGAGTCATTTGGATACAAGACCTGCTAAATGTGATGTTTGTGGAAAATCATTTAGAGATAATAGTGACTTAACAATACATAAGAGAATTCATACTGGAGAGAAACCTTATCAGTGTTCATTCTGTGATGCTGCTTTTAGATCCACTAGTGCTTTGAATTCTCATGCAAAATCTCATTTTATAAAGAAGCGAATTGAAAGAACAGAATGTAACATTTGTAAGAAGACTTTTTCAACTGTATATAATTATAACTCCCATGTTAAAAAGAAACATCAAGATATAATAGAAGATACTGGTACGGTTGTGCCTACAGATATACTAGAGACAGAATATTCCAGTGAAATTGCTATATATACCTCTTATACTTAATAATACCTGACTTGTTGAATCGAGTAGAAACAAGGTCCACAGCTGAGAAATTTACGAGTCCATTTTGTAAAATCCGGGGTTTTAAGTGTCAACAGTTTAAACTTCCGACAATACTCGGCAGTTTCCGTAAGCTGATTATGTTGCAGAGCGCTAGCATTACTTTCACGGAGGCCGTTTGCAGTTTAAAAAGATATATTAGGACTAAACATAAGGTTAAGGGAGATTAACCCAAGATAACTCGATCATCCAAACGGCCTACCGTCAAAGTTCAAAAAGCGCTCTGCAACAGGTTCAGATTTACGGAAAGTGTTGAGTATTGCCGAATGCTCGGGACCCTGTGTCCATCGTTCTCGCGATTGGTGCCATGGAATTCTCACAGAAGACAAACTTGGAAATTGTCACACCTAAAGTTCCAGATTGGAGCACATTCTTCCCAGAGTCTCAATCTGAGATTTAATTTTATCCGAAAAATAACAGCCAATTCGGGTTCTTGTAAGAAATGATTGTTACAGTATATTTGCGTGTATAATGCGCAGTGGTTACGCTTAAAAGGGCTTGCCAATCTGAGGGTGCACATTTTCGCGCTTCCCCAGTCAATACTGCCAGTTTACCATTCTTATTTATTGTTATTTTGGTGTTTGCTTTTAAATGGATCTGAATTGGAAAACATTCGAGTCTCACAATGATGTGTGATTATAGTTTGCACAGTCAAATGGATTGTAAGGGGATTTGGTAAACTTTTTTATTAAACGTATTGGGGACATTGATAGTATTGATCTGCACCAATTCGCAAAAGGCCCTTATATTATTAAAGGCCTGGTTTAAATGCACATGTTGAAAATCCATTCTCTCAGTGTCTCCAACACACATTACAAGGTTTAAAAATACTCTTTGCAATCCCTTTAACTAGTTTAACAGTGGAACAGGTCAACCTCAGTCAATCTTAACAATCTTTTATTTTGTTTTATTACAATATGTACAAGGTATGCTACTGGCTCTGGAAATGTTAAGTCTGGTTTTCATCTACATCTTCAGTTTGTTGTCTCAATTTGCTGAAAAATACAATAAGATAGTTGGCATGGCACCACTCTGCAACTCATTTTAGTTTGGATAGTCCTTGTAGCAAGAAAGGTTTATCAGAATACTGCGAAAGCCTAGGTATCTATGCGACATGTTTCCGGACCTTAGTAGAATGTCAGAGGCATGTCTATTGATTATAAGGTGTTAGGGGAAGCTGTGTGGTCATGGTCAAGGGGAATTACACCCCCTCTCCACCCCCACTGCCGAAAATTCACATTTATACCAAGGTAATCAGAATAATTTTCCTATTACGTACCTGATGTCTATCCGACCATCCACTGTTAATTTCTTACATAAAATATTCACTTGTTCTTTGGTTAATACTAGCTCTGGCACAATCTGAAATTGAGATATCGAGAAAAAGCAATACATGTACTACCAATCCGAACCGATCATTTTTATGGTTTTTGCTCCGATTCCAATCCTACTTTTTGAGAATTTTCTGATGATAAAAGCCATATTTGGCATTTCTTTTGGTATTCCATTAGTATATCACGTCAGAGGAATGGATAGGGCAACATTTGTCGGGCTACACCCAACCCATTGTATAACGAATACGGGTTTTGGCATGGTCTTATGACGAATGGGGGTGTGGTTTGGACATGATGCACCCAATCATGACAGATGGACCATGCTGGTTCCATATTAGTACCCTTTTCTATTATATATTTACATCCACCCAGATAGCCTGGATTGTGCAACAGTTTGGTAGCCAATGTTCTATTTCAATTTACCTTTAAAATATTTCTAAATTCATCCTGACTAATAAGATTTTCTTCTGACTTAAAAATATCATCAATATTCAAACCGCATTGTGAGACATATTGTTTAAATACACCAATAGTATCTTGTCTGAACTTCACCATCTCGTCCAGGGGGATCCTGGCGTGCTGACATTCTGGTAGGACACCGTCATATAGAACGTGTATAGGTCTCGATGTTGTCAGCTTCTCTAACAGCTCAACGAATTCCCGCTTCACCAGAGAATTCTGAAATAAAATCAATGATAGACTTTTACATTCTTGGTTTCATCTTATATCAATATAGGTGGCTTATAACAAAACACAAGACAATATTATGGAATATAACACACTTCTTTAATAAGGTTGGGCACATAACGTTTCAACACAATATACACGTGTCGTCATCAAAATGTCGTTCAAAACTGATATAGATGGCTGCATCTTGACGAGGATTTCTGAATATTTCTGAAGGCTTACTGTGTTCCGTATAATAATATACCATCTGCTTGGCTTATCTGAGTGCATATTTTGAGTGGAACTTCCTGTTTTAATATCGCGTCAACAGAAGCTAATCCAAGCACTATGTGCTCAGAGCAAGAGTTTAAAGTAGTGTATAAGACATAAGTGAGACGCAGGGCTGTGTAATATGGGCGCTGGCTATATGGTACTGAACTAAATGTGACACTGAAATTGTTTGCAGCAATCATTTCTGTGAAGGCAATGTAAGACCAAGGAAAATGGCCAGAAACATCAGATGGTACTTACTGATAAATCCAAGAAGTTAATGGCACTACTTTCATTTGTTTCTAACGATTTCAATAGAGACATGGCTGCTTCCGCTCCAAAAGGGTTAAAACCCAACTGGAATTTAAGAAAAAAATGTACATTGAAAAAGCTCTCGGTAGTTGTCGTTAAGCTGGTGGAACTTACACAGATGATGGTTTGTGAATTCCATGTAGATTTTGATTTTGAAAAGAACTACGGATAGGTATATTCCATCTGATAAAGCACACCAATATCCTTTTGAATCGTCTGAGATGCGCTGAATACTCCAGATTCATCCAATTTACTGTCGCACTTGATATATTCGTCAATTGATTTATTATGTGTAAATAAACTAAAGTACTAACAATCCGAACCGCAACGAAAACCAAAATCCAAACAACATACTAGTACAATATGGTAGCAGCTAATGAACTTTTCACACGTAGAAGTATATCAATCATAAGTGAGTAAATATGGCATAATGAAAAGTGGTATCAAGTATTATCGTCCATATAATTGGAGCGCAATCATTTGAAGATTTTCATCTTAGAATAGAATAAAGTTTACCTTCAGGACTTGCAGCACGTCATTCTCTTTGATGCCAGATGCTATAAATAGTACACCTTCCGATGGAATTCTTGAATAGCTGACATCGAGTTCCAGCAAAGTTCTGTTATGTTTTAATGCTTTACCAATGGCTTCGGCCCCATCTCGACCTAAACCAGCCATCGATATACAGAACTCTTTCAATCCAACGTTCTCCTGTATGATAGGAAACAGGCACTTAAAACTATGTATCTACTTTAGTCAAATTAATCATTATTGGGAATGATCAAAATCGATCAACGAACAGCACAAAATTCCACCAGATATTCACGAGACAGTGACCTAGACCTAGACCAAGAGCCAATATATGACTCTGATCTGACTTATTTTGAAAATCGAATCTTATTTGCACAGCCACAATGTGTCTTCGAAGACTGTCTCGAAATGACTTCGTATACGTCATGGACTGCTTTTAAAAGCTATCGGTCTAAAAATACCTATATTTATATTTGTATAATAGCAGTCTGCTATCGTTAGACTAAAAAATAACAGTAGGAGATTTTGGTGCTTACCTGAAGACCCTCGGCAAGTAAGACGGCACCTCTCGTTCCAAAATGGTTCCAACTCAAATCTAGAACTTCCAGAGATTCGTTTTCCATTAGTGCTCCTTTAAAAAACACTGCTGCAGATTCTTCAAATCGATTGTGATTCAATCTAAGCTTTTTGAGAGTTTGATTTTTCTGAAATGAATATCAGCCAGTGTCATTAAATATCATTTTGAAAACCACATAAATGGCAAATTATAGTTATTTAATAATGAATTGTCTTCGAATTAGTTTGTGAGGACTTTTAGAAGTCATTGCCTCTTTTTCAAATACATACAAGTACTTTGAATGTGACTTACGTACTATTAAAACTTCGTGGAAAAATGTTGCTGTACTATCGTCTATTTTATTGCCTGTAATAGAAAATAACGCTGTTAAGAATCATGCACGCGCATTCTTAATAGTGACCTGTATATTGTAACGTCTTGAAAAAGTACACCATAGATACTCATCTTCGGGACACGCCTACAGTATTAAGTGTATTCATATTATGTATTTACGGAATAAGGATAATACAAATACTCTAGTATCATTTGGGATGCATTCAAATATAAGGGCCATAGTTGTCCATATGCAAACGGTCTACCGTGAATGTACCGATTGTGCTCTGCAACGGATTAAACATTTCAGCCTGACGGAAACTGTAAAACTTTAAATTTTGTGGACATTCCCTATAAAAAAATGATTGAGACCTTTCATCTACAAAACTGATGCACGTGTATTTGAAGCCCGACCTATATTATAACATTACCTGTTAGATCAACATTGACTAAAGTTCTATTTGATAAGAGTAAATCACACACAGCTCTAGCTCCCACAGATCCTATTTTATTCTCTGCTAAAACCTTCAATAGATTATAGAGGATAAATTTTAAGACGTTCATATGGGATTTTCTAGATTATGTATCGAGGAAACTTGTATAATTGCATTTCATGAGGGGCGCAGTGACTGACATGACCCCCGTGTGTTACAGGCTGTGTACAAATGGAAATGGCTATTGATCTTGTTGTATCTGATGATTTTTGCCATTGTGGTAGTGGGGTTGTCGCGCGCGAAGCAAACCATGCATGCTTACTCTTTTCGAAACACCTGATGGTACTTCCCTTTGGAGGAGTCCACTACCACACAACTTTTATTCTCGATTCTGCCATACTTTATAATGTGAATTTGATTAACGGAATTGTCTTTGCTATTCGAATTTTTTATTCATTAGCCCACAGAAAAGAGGGCGTATACGAAAATAAGCAGAAAATTACCAGATCAGTTATAAAGAAATTTTCTTTTAAAACTCTGATTAAAGATAAAGCTCCATCAGTATCTATTCCATTCCCTGATAGATTTAACTTCTCTATTTGAGTATTTGTCTGAAAAATACAGATATGAAAATAAGTGCCTTTCGGCAATCATCGGCAGGTTCCGTAAGGCTGAATCTTCCCTATGTATATATCTAAATGCACTTTATTTTTATCATTATACAGTCCTTAACTTTGTCAATGTTCAATTTATTAGGTGAAATAGTTTGATTGTTTACATACTTCAAGTGGAATACAGATCGCTTTAGTGTTGTTCTTCCCCAGGCCGTGAAACTTCATCGTCATTTCTTTGTCTTGAATATGTCTGAGGAAATACGACGCCGGGGAAACACCGAGATCCTCGCAGACCTTCAGGTATTTATTTCTACCAGTGGTGTCATGATCTCGACCACCAGGATTCAACCACCCTGAAAAAAGATTGTAAAGAGTTATTTTTTAGAACGTTTATGTGTATTCGGGAAACAGATAGCACCGTCCAATTTTCAGTCAAACGTCTGTGGTTCCTGCAATTTCACCCAAACTATGCATTTTATGCTGGGGATATCAATGGGCAATTGCAATAGCAAAACAATTCCGTTAACCAAACATGCCATACATTTTTATAGTAATGGACTCCTCAAACAAGAAGCACCATCAGACGTTTCGAAAGGGTTCTATAAGATTATTATAGGCTAATATAATGTTTTGTATTTATGCAACTGCCAGTATCCGCTTCTAAGGTCTAACGGTGTAAAAAAAACATCGGGTTTTGAATTTTGAAACATAGCAAACATGAAAACTACATGAAACGATTCGACATTTATCAAAGTTATCTTTCCTGATCTATATTAATCTAGACAAATCCGTTATATTCAACATTTCTGTTTCCTTCGAAAGATAGTGCATGTGAGCAGAGTTTGCATTAGTTTTGATTATGACTATCTTAGCTTTCACTACGTAAAATCGTTATGCTTTTCTTTTCTTGCAACTTAATGTGAATCTAGAAGATTATTTAAGACTATTTAACTTATTCGATCAAATAATTTGAGGAGACAAATTGTTTCTAGACTAGTATGGGCTGTAGCTTGTTTCGGAAACTTATATTATTGTATAATTTCTGTAACAAAGGAATAAAATATTGATTAGACCAATGAGCAAATCTTTGAATCCTTACTACCGACAATTTCCATTAGTTAAGTGGGTTGTCTGTTGAAAGGTTTCCACAATGACAATCACTAAAACATAATGGTAACCAGAGAAGTTTTGATCCACTAATACCATGGGGCCACTTACTTATCTTGGATTATCCCCAGATTAACAGACTCTAGCCAAGTGTTGCATATTATCATTATTATTATGGTATTGCAATAGTTTTATATCTTAAATGAACTTATACGCATCAGTTGTAAGCGATAGTCCGAAAGCTCTTTACAGATTATCAATAGCATATAGATTGTTATATAGGTTAGTTTTATTCGGATACTTTAATATGATCAAGTGAATGATAAAGTTTTGCTAATGAACACCCTCCCTTAACATGCACCAAAGCAGTACAAATCCATCAGATATTATATAAAAAAAAATTCAAATGTTCGTACCATAATATACATTATCTTTACAATGTCGAATTTCTAATTTCGTTATAGCTTGTGAAAATGCCTTTATAAAGCTTATATACATTACAAACATAGTAAAACGGTAAAACGTATGACGAAATGTGGTCAACTGAAAAATCCCCAGGGTAGATCTATAATAATTAAGGTATATCTGATATCTATATTATCTTATCGATACAATAAAGCTATATAATATAATATTACTACAGATACTATCTTTACTTGACTTTACTGCAGATCAAATATTGTCTTACTTATTTTACTGTGTAGACAATTTTTATAGAACATTAATACTATAGACTGTTTATGATTTATTGGTTGATTTAGTGTGATTTATATCTAAATTGAAATAAAAAGGTTGCAATAAATTTGTAACAATTATCCATTAGTTTTTTTTGTTTTGTTTTTTTTTTATATCCAGATACTGAATTTCAATATCTTTTTGGAAGTTTATTTAAAGGGATTGTAAAGAGGTTTCTATGACTATAGGGGACACTATTGAAAGTATCTATTTGCACCATTCCAATTTTCAGTAAGATTTCTGTGGGTCTTGCACAGTGGGCTGTCGCAAAGCCCTTGGCCTCAGATATTTTTTAGCAGCTTTTGCATTTGTGAAGGCATATATGGTAATGCATTTCTATATAATAACAGGAACCATAGACATCTAGCGAAATACACATGAAAAAGCTAGAAAAAACTCTTTACAACCCTTGTATGGATTACAAAGAGGCCATAAATCCTGAAACGAATCACAGATTCCCTGGAACAAAAGGAATAATTATGGCAGCCAGCTACTCACGTTCTTCATCAAATTCCAGATCTGTTTCATAATCCTCGTCGTCTGATGTTTCTACAGAATTTAACTCAACTTGTCGCGATTTTAATACAGTTTTAGAGTCATCTTGGTCCGCTAGAGACAGCACAAACTCTCCATCACTGTTCACCAACAGATCCAATCGTCTGCCACTGTGTAGTTGTGAGTCATCAATGACATCATCGAGTGACTCCTCCTCGCGACCACGCTCGTAAATGCTCGAATCGTCTGGTTCTGGTATTTGAGTAATGAGCACATCGTCTGATCCTAATACATCGTCTATCTCTTCAATGGGCATTAATTCCGAACCGAATGTATTCCCTTTTGGCACGGTTCTACACATTGGCAGCAGTCCTTTCTGTGCTTTATAATCGGCCTGTACCAGAGACATTTTGGCACAGGTTAATGTCCAACAGTTACATTATCTGGAAATATAAAAAAAATTAATATTGTGATGGCATCAGAAACTTTTGAACCCCGTTACAAATGGTTGAGCAGACAATGAGCAACGAAATGCTGAGAAAAGTACAAAAATTATATTTTTAGAGAGAAACTGAATCTGTGACTCCAATATACAATTATTCGGATTAACTTGAAGAAACTCTCAGATGTATTTCGTTAATGCTTGGTAATGCTTAGAAGTTTAAAACTGGAATAACTTAAGAACTTAAGAACCTTTCATGCCACCATGTATGTTTTAGTCCACATTTATCTGAAAATAGCAAATTCACGAATTCCCTATAAGGTATGGACACAATTGTGACTCTCCACAAAGATCATACATAGTACATAAAACCGCATTAGATGCTCTGATCCCATAATATATAGTCCAATATTAGTTCAGAATTGTTCAAAACATACCAATCATATTATGAACACAAATAAAGGATTTTAAAAATGGTTTGTTGAACACTTTTGAGGCGCGACACAAAGACAGCTATATAAGATAGTATATAAAACTGTTATAAACGTTCTGATCTCAAACAGCCTCTAAGATCTTTATTAGTCCAGTATTTGTCGTAAGATTAAAAAGAAATAAAGGCAGTAAAGGATGTAGACGCTATAGAGTTTTTGTTGCTATAATAAACTAATGAAGTTTATAACGCTGTGGACTAAATGATTTATTACATGTATCACAAACTGCCTATTTACTGTCCAAATAATCCTTGACTTATTATTACAATCTAATATTATACAATGTATTTAGGATCATTGCCAACAGATCATACGATTTGAGTCGATTTGAGTCGATTTGAGTCGATCAAATATCTAACGACTATATTTCGATCTTCGTTCACAATGGTACTGGTATTGGGATGTATTGAGACGAATCTCAACGAAAGCACTGGCCCGGGTCACAGAGCACTAGATAAGCCAGTTAAGAACATTAGATGTTATGTTCAGTGGCGGAGTCAGGTTTACGACCGAGAGGGGGCGAGGGGGCTAGATATCTGAGTTCGCCCGAATCTTTAACCTAGTTATGAGATTTTTGCCCGAAAAACCCGCTTTCGGGGCTGCCCCTCTGTGCTTCAAAAATTGTCATTGAAGGATTAATATATTGACTATTTTATATTAAAACAACAACTAGAAATAGATATACTATAGGGTCAAGGTAGGAGTGGTACTAGTTCGTAGTAAGATAAAAACACATTTTTAGAAGTATCCATCTATAATAATTGTCTTATTTAGTCAATATATTGTTTTTATAATTATAACAGACATCCGAAGAATTTAATAATTAGATTCCATTCGATTTTATTCTTCGGGTGAGACAGAGATATATAAATAAAATATAAAATATATTGAAATGTCACATCTTCACATATTTGCAAGAAGAAAATGAAATGTGTTACACGACCGCTTCTGACCTACAGAACTTTACAACACAATACAACTTCACATTCTCGAATTCTTTGTGTTACTTAATTGAATTCGGATTAACATATTGCAACATTCCAAACCAACTTGAGCCATTTAACCCCAGCAACGTACTAAGATCGCGGAATAGATATATTAAAGGGAATGCAAAAGACGTTTTCTGTTTATGTGTACGTGTATTTGGTATACTGAAAGCATCAAATGAACAATTTATGACGTCACTAAAGCTCCGTATAATGTTATAATAATATTAAATTCTTTATTTTTATGGGTCAGAATTAGGCCCAATATACAAGGACATGGTCCTGTCTAACATCTAGTCCGTGGGGAGAATCTCTCTCCTTAGAAATTTCAACCCAAAAAAAGTGCTAAATTTTGATCTTTCAGTTTTATTACTTGATTTAACGTGATATTACTATCACTACGAAAGTACGAAACTCTTTGAGATAGACCTACACTTAAAAAAAATGTTTATATATATTATTTATCTGAATATATTTTTCACAAGTTGATATATCGGATTCCACAAGTCGCCATTCATTCGAATTACTACGTGGAAATGTACATTCAATTTCTTGACACAACAAGATATACAACAAAAGCCGACATCCACAACCCGTCAATATCAGCGATAAAAAAAAACAGAAGACAAAAACATGCCAAGCACTAGCGGACAACAATGGACCTTTGCGACAGTGATGTCATAAGTGGAATTGCAAACACCACAGATGTCTGACTGAATATTTGAAAGGTGAAAATCGATGTGATCCCCTATAAGCTTACACATAAAAGTCAAGAAAACCTCTTTACAATCCCT